GAAAGGTTTCTAACTGACACAGATGACAAAGTTTTGGCAACTGTTTCAATCCTAGCATCCTTGAAAATCCTTTCCTTACACTAACAAATCTTTTAAAAAATTGTTATCAGTGCTTCTTTCCTTGGCTCTTCACGGGCGGGACCTTGACATTGTATGTTCTTATCAGAAGCTGCTGCAAATTAATTTTGTGCACTTTGCAAGGCAAAATAACTGGTCAGAGCCTGCTGCTGCAAATGATGTTTTCTGTAACAGGGCTTTCTTTTTTCTTTTAAGAAAGAAAAAAAATGCCTTAAAGAGGCATTATAAAACCAGACAACACAGCATAGCCTCTTAAGATAGAAAACGCTCTCCTACACCAAGCTTGCCTATTAGAATGACCAAGTTTAGCAGGGGTAGTGCTTATATGAGAATGAGTGCTGCATAGGGGACTGCAAGGAGATTTTGTCCTTTTGAGTACTACTCAGCCAAATGCTTGGCTTAGTTTGAGGTAATTTTATACAACACTGCATAGCAGCCTTCATCTGAAATGTCATTTGTGAATGTCAGTGGTCAGACAGCAGTAGTTTGCTCAGTTCACACTCAGACCTGCTGGTGCTTCCTGCAGTCTCACCTAGAGCCAACATTTTCACATTTGGTTCTTGTTGACGTTGCTGGGTGGGGTTGCTGGGTGGCTCTGTGCTGCAGACAAGGCTGGCTTTGGTGTTCCCAAGGGGGCACAAAGGCAGATGCTGGAATGTGCTGTACACCCCAGAACAGTGTCAATGAGCAACAAGGCCAGAGTCCACCAGACCTCTGACCACCAGGAAACAGCTCGATGAAATTCTGAGTTATTGCACAGGTATGGAATTTGCAGACTAAAACATGATTCAGCAGCATCTTTAAAAGTTTAGCAATGCTATATTCTGTGTCAAGGTATAGTCATTTTTTAACTATGTTGATGTCTTCTCTTTGACTTCATTGTAAAACAAAGCCACCAAAATGTGTTTCTTACAACCATATGCCTGTAAGCTCAAAATGCCTAGATGTGGCAGCTCTGGGAAAGAAACTGTACTTTGAGATGTAGATTTACTCAAGGAAAGCTTCTGGCCTTCAGAGTGAGAGACACTGTTCCCTCTTGGAAACATTTTCCTCTCTCTTCTGGTTACACATTGACAAGAGGGAATAAGACTTAAATAATTAACTTTTGGGCATCTGTCCTGAATCACAGTCTGAATAAATACAACTTTTCATAGTGGGGAACAGTTATAAGACACTTTAATCAAGGTATGAAGATAACCACCTTAAGAGGCCTCGATGTTTCTGTGTGTTCAAATCTGAAAAATATCTCCTATTTCAGTAGTACCAAAATTCTTCCAGTAGAAGGGAGAAAGTGATTGTAAATGTTTCTTACATGGCCTCCAAAATCAAAGAGACTTACTTGTTGTAGTCTTTGCTATATTAGACAGCACATGAGTTGGACAATTAACTAGAAACAAACATTTAGTCTCCTTTTCCCTTTTGTTTTAGGAAGAACTATTTCCTCAGATGAAATTAAAAATTGAATTATATATTTAAAGGCTGGAGAAAATTGCACCATATGCGAAAGGAAAATGTTTATATTTGGATCGATTTTGTAGATAAACTACCCTTGTAAATACACTGATTCCCTCCCCCTGCTGCATCCTCCAGGGATGCTGTGAAACAGCAGGGTTTGATTAGTCCTTAACCCACAAGTTTACAATATTTTTTTGAAAGATTTAACCTTGCTTGAATTTGTAGCAGAGATATTCACAACAATCAAATACAGAAAGCAGAACAGAGTGCAGACAAGAGGGCATGAGACTTTGGTACACATTGGCATGGATCATAGAAGATTTCCGAAGTCTTAGAATAGCTGTAGGATGGACTTAAATAGTCTCTCAGCCTAGTCAAACCCTGTGAGCTCTTATTTTTAAGCTCACCCACCGAATACCTTTCTTTTTCTCTCAGAAAATTGTTTCTGCAGCCTCTTTCACAGAGATACATGGTTGCCTCTGCAGCTGTATGGTAGTTGATCATGGCAGCACAGTGGTACAACATAGTACAGATATCATGTGTGGTTCTCATTTTATGATTCTGTGATATATCCCGACAATTTAGATGAAAAGGAGCCTCTGGAGGTCTCTGACCCAAGCGCTTCTTAAAGCAGCATCAGATCAGACAAGGTTGCTCTGGACCTTGTCCAGTCAATCTCTAAATATCTCTAAGGATGGAGGTTTCACAAACCCTCTGTTGCAGGATTTGACCCCCCCCATGATGAATTTTTTTCCCCACTGATTTATACCTGGAATTTTCCTCATTACCTTTCACCCTTTTACTGTTCACATCCCAGAAGCTGGGCTGGATTTTCTCCAAATGAGTAGTAAAAGACAACGATGTGATCCCCCATCCGCCTTTAGCCTTCTCAGGACTGAGTACTCCCAGTTGTCTCATTCTCTTGTTGTACATCCTTGAAGTCCATCAACATGTGCAATGTGCTGTAATTCCTGAGTCTTATCTGGCAGGCTGTCAGTCTGCTGACAAGGTTTATTGTTACTGGAACAGAGAGGAAGGCCTCCATGTGAAGGCCTCTGGAAGATCAGTGCAGACACTGTTATCTCTGAGAGAAATTAAAGTCTAAACAGAGCGAGCTAACAGGGCTAGCTTCTTTCTTCTGCCTCCTTAGGGACAATTTAAAGTAGGGTTTATGTAGAAGGTTGCTTTTTGATAGCATGGTTCCCCCTGGTCATGCCAGTGAAGTGGGCACCGAGGTATTTGCCAGCTGCAAAGCAGTCTGTGGCAGGGCGTCTGAACCACTGAGGGCTGGCGTTTTGTCCCAGAAGTGGTACTCTGCTGCAGGCTCAGCTTGGAAACCTCAGGTGAAGAGCAGATTTACCATTTGCCCACAAGATGCACATGCCCAATTCTATAGGGATTCCCCTTTGTTATTGATTCCTGAGGCATGATATTACACAAACCTGACCAGCAAAATCTTCCCTTACCCTTGCTCTATGGCAGGGCATGCAGAACTATTCAAGCGTACAGGTATTGCCTCAGTTTTGGAATACATGCTGATCTGAAAGGGGAAAACAGGCTAGGAGGATATTCTATATAATTACATAGTTTGAAAAATCAGATAGAAAATTTGTGTGGCTTTAAAGGCCAATAGCAAGAGGTAGGATTAGAGAAGAAGATATTTCAGCTCTGTGAATGCTGCAGTCCCAAACCCCTGCTAATCTTCATTTCACTTCCAAGTGCTCCATGCCTGTTCAAATATAGCTCCAAAGGTACTCCAATAGACGCCCAGATCACAGGATTTGCAAATTAGTGGCCTTTGCAAACATTTCTGGTTTAAGATGTTTATGCTATCTTATATACCAAACTTATAGAACAGCTTGATTAAAGGCTGCTGTTTCTATGGCTACCTTAGTAGGGTTTACACACCCTTCAGCTCCACCTGCTCCACCTCCTATCCTTCATCCCCCAACTTCAGTGTCATGGGGAAAACAGAGAAGGCAATCAAAAAAAAACCCACGGTGCTTTTATTTTCATGATGTTACACTGTCTTTCCTTTAAAACAGATTTTGATCTCATGTACTCCATAATAGTGTAAATGAAGCCACCTGAAGTCAGCTCAACAGTGCAGACAACTTCCATCACTACTGTTTCAGCTCCAACAGACTCTCTGAGTTTCTTAAGATGGCTTTCCTCCTTTAAAGAAAAGGAGGAAAGCCATCTTTCTTTAAAGATTCCTTCACAATTGTAACAATGGCATGCATTCCACCATCTTGGTTTTGTTGGCTTTAAATGAAAGCTGAGACTCTGGAGCCTGAAATTAGTGATTCTCCTGCCTCAGCAGAGCTGCCTTGAGCACTACCTCAGCTCCAAGGAACACACACTGCTGTGAGGAGCAGCATGAGCAAACCATCAGACTGGCTGCATGCATGGAACATTGAGAGGGTCTGACTGCAAGTGAAAGGTGTCTCACTGAAATGCTGGTAAGAAATGGATGATCTTTCACTACCTGGATTTCTCCAGACAAAAGAGATTTCTTTCAGTAAATAGGAGTACAGAACAAGGAGCAAAGCTCTTGATGGTCAGTGACTAGGGAGACAGAGGAGCTCATTTTCATGAAAACAGAACTTAAAATGCAGTTGTCCCAGCCCCTCACTACCTATTTTCCCATTTCACAGCATCAGCTCCAGAAGACAGTAGCTAACTTCAGGCACCTGCTCGCTCTCACCCTTTCCATGTCCATGTCTAGGTCTTATAGATTTACAGAAGCAGATCTAAAAAATATTCAAATGCCTGGAGGCAAGTCATCAAGATGTATTGGAGAACGGATGCTGGAACTTCGGCTCCTCTACAGAGCTTAGCCAGATATCTCCAGTCTGCCAGCAGGCCCCTTCAGCCACTGCCACTTGTATAAGCTGGAAACAAGTCTTCTAGCAAGTTTAGGACCTAACGAGCCTCACCTGATTCTTCTAAGATATGGGCAAAAGTAGGTGATGCTGCTGCTCCCATTTTCCCTTTTACACCAGGAGCCAGAGGTCAACATGCTCAGCAAGAACTGGGGAGCACAGATGCCCTCTCCTCCACAGAAAAAGCAGCACCTCTTCTCTGACGGGAGAAAGCCTTGACCAAAGAAGCTCATAGGCAGTTTTGTGGGAGGAGAGCAGGCACTTTCTTGGAATTTGGCCACACAGCACTCCAAAACAGGGTTAGATAACTGTGCAGCCCCATGCATCCAGGACTCCTGTGGTGTTTTCCTCTGAGTAATTACTGCGTGAATTAATGACCTCAGGCCCCCACCTTCACTCTCATACACAAGAGAACTTTGATTACTAGCCTACAAAGCATCACTTTTCCCTGTCTGCAGCCACTTATTCTTGATGCTTTTACTGAACAGTGCCAGAATTCCAAGGGGAGCAGGGAGAGATCCCACTTGGTGGGAAATGCCACATGCCCATGCATGATACCCAGGGCAGGGCAGTTTGCAGGACACCACTGTTTGAGATTGCCAAGAAAGGGAGCCTTGTGTGCAAGGGGAGACTGGGAGGTGCACTAAATAGGGAAGGTGCCCAGCAAGTTGGTATTTCTTTGGCACAAAGTGACATGGCATCCCATTGCTGTCTGGCACCCCTCTGCCATTTTGTGCTGCTGTAACATCAGTGGCCACACTTGTGAGTCTGGCCATAAAAATTATTTATAAGAAAACAAGGTCAGGTGTCTTATCAGATAGTTTTAACATCACATTGCATTTTTAAAGATGATGAACATTATCAGTTTTCCTGTATGTACCATCTTAGTTTACTTAACCTCATTGAAAAGACCTGATTTAGCCAGAGCAGTTAAATCAGTTAAACTCTTTGTGGAAATTCAGCTTATTCCCAGATACACTGGCCCAATGCCCCACAGATTTACGCGTCACATTTGTAACAAAGACCAAATATGCACACAGCGGGTTTAGCCATTTTGAGTAGATAATTCTTTTTACACCTTTACTTGGACAGCATAATGTAAAGATTAAAAAAACAATTGTTGTTAAACTCCTCCTAGGGACAACAGTTCAGGATAAATACTCATGCTGCAGCCTATTGACACAAACAAACCCAAAGGGACATCAGCTCCAAATAATACAACATCAACAGATTTCTGCCCTGGCTGTAAGACCGTATGTGCCCCCACATTCCCTCATTTCCATTCCCCAGTAGCTCCCTCAGCTATGGGCAGTAGCAGACTTCCTTGTCTACTCTGGGCAGCCAGAAAGCAGCTCTGACACAGCCAAGGGCCATTGGCTTCCTCATGAGGAGGCAACACTCATGTCTCAGGAAGAAACTTGGACAGGGAAGGGATGAGCACATATTTCTGCTACCTCGGAGAGCAAGTGTTTGTGCTGGCAGCAGGTGTGACACGGCCTCTGAGCTATCCTCAGAGAGCAAAGGTCACATGCTGCTGGGGTGGTGCCAGCAGCTCCTACCCACTCCGTTAGCCTGTGCTGGCTGCCCTTATCCATGGGCAGAGACCAGGGCACCAGGTGAGTGATGTACCCACTGCCACAAACTTGTGGTGCCCTCTGAAAATGAACAGGTCTTGACTGCTACTCAGAAGAGTTTGCCTTACAAATTACCTATGTAGTGAAAGAAGAGGCTCTCTCAGCAGGGAGCACAGGGTGCTGATTTGGTTACAGGTGATTTCATTGCTCTGCGTTTAGAACCAGTGGGCAAAAACTGCCCCCACCATCAAAGGGTAACTTGTGTGCCTGTTAACTGATGCATCTTGTTTCTGTATCTGTTTTGAATACATCTGGGAAAGGCCCAAGCTATGGAAGATATTGGCCACAACAATTACTATGCCAGAGTAGGAAAGTGTGACTGAGTTGCAGTCAGACTTGGTAGGACAATCAAGTGGAAAAAGCAAGGCACATGGTTTTCCATGTCTGGATGTCCAGTGTAATAGAACTCTGGAGTAAAGCCCAACATAGGTAATGACATGGAACAGCCAGTTTAAAGCAAATGTATTTAAGCAAGTAAAAATTACTCGAACTGCTAAGGAATTCATTGGTCTCAACAAAAGCAGAGCACAGCCTTTGCTAACATGGAGACTTTCCTAATCTCCTCAGAGGTTTCCTGAAGGCCTTATCATATACTTATTGTTCCTTCTTTGCTGTCTTCAGTCTGGCTGGGACCTCAGCTTGAGCTGCCTCTGTTTGGTGGGTATTGCAGGAGGCTGTTCACAGCTTGGAGAACCGAACCAGGTGTCGGCCAATCTCTGAGACTCTGGCACAGCCTGAAATACATGACACAACAATGAGAACGAAAGGTTTGTGGATGAAGCTTGGAAGCCCCCTTCTCTGAATTACAGTCTTGTCTTGTATGAACTGGATTGGGATAGGTTCGTACTTCAGTAGTTCTGTTCCTCAATGGCATCTTCAGCCTTGAGGTTAGGCACCAGACTTCCCACACAAGTAGAGTTAGAAACATGAAAAAAAATGATCCTTACAACAAGCTTATAGGTCTTTTCCAACCTAAAAGATTATATGGTTCTATGAATTTCACGCTTCCACTAAAAAGATCCCAACTTGCTGCTCTTGCTGAATCCAGTGCTCTTTTGCATGTAAAGTGTAAAAGCCTGCTGGAAAAAAAACCCAACAAAACAAAACAAAAAACAAAAACCCCACAAAACCAACAAACCCACCGTGTAGGAATCTTTGCTAGTTGAAAAAGTGACCTGTAAAACCAACCGTGCCAACAGGATTTCAATTCCAGTCTCCTAGTCAGCATTGTTATCCACTTGAGTTCATGGTTGCTAGAGCATGAAAATCTTTAATAAGATCCTTTACTGATGTCTGAATACTCCTGCACTGGATCTGCATGTCATGCTTAGTATCATAGAATATCCTGAGTTGGAAGTAGCCCACAAGGATCATGGAAGTCCATCTTCTGGCCCTGCATAGGACAGCCCCATGAATCACACCATGTGCCTGAGAACATTGTCCAAATGCTTCTTGAACTCTGACAGGTTTGGTGCTGAGACTTCCCTGGGGAGCCTGTTCCAGTGCTCAACCACCCTCTTGTTCATATGTGAAACGAGTTTGCGCTGGGCTCTGCAAGTTTGCTGTCAGTGAGGGGATCAAACATGGCAGCTACAGTTGGGAGCAATAGTGAGAAATGAGAGTGAGGAACAAAAGTAAAATCTTGGAGGAGACATGAAGGCTTTTAAGGCATGTAGAATGCAGAGGTTTGAACCTCCACGAACAGACTGTATTCTCCAATATGCAGAGAAAAATTCTGCATCCATTTTTAATGAACTTTTCATGCAGAAAAAAATTGGTTCCATTTTGCCCTGATAAACAGTATGTTAAATACTGAAAAACATATGCTACCATTCCCAGCAGAACAGAAATTGCAGGTTTTGCTCAGCTTTACTTAGCAATTTTGTATCTCTTTAGCTGGGTCACAAAGCTGCTTTAACCTATTTCCTCCTTGCAAGTGTCATTGCTCTGACACCTGAAATGCCAAGTGGTTTTCTAGGAAGCAAAGAATCACCTTAAGCATAGCAACTTGAACTGGCACAGGTCAGGTGGATTCCCTTTTTGTGACCCATCCATCAGACTTCTGATTTTATATGGCTTGCATGAAAAACCTCTGTATCACCCATTGCAAGCAACCTGCAAAATACTTACCGGCCAAGGCCATCGACAAACGAAATTCATCCTGCAAAATTCTCAAAACGTCCTGGAGACCTTCTTCACCCTGCTCCGACAGAGAAAGCACTCAGGGTAAAAGGAGCACTGGCACAGAGCAATGCTGCAGGATGCTTGCACTGTGAAAGCTGGGACAGTCCCTTAACCTCGTGCCAATTCCAAGCTCTCATACAGATGAATGATTAAAACTTTATGATGGATGTGCTCAGTTCATTGCAGATTAATTTAAATGCTTTTCCTTTTGTGATACATCGGAACACGGAAAGAAAACAAAGTTGTTTTTCACTTGTGACATTTTCTAGCTGGTTTCTTCTCTTAGCTTTCAGTTTTCCTCTGCCAATTGGCTTGTTATTTAAAATGTCAAGCCTTACAATGCTGACAGTTTTCAATTAAGTAATGAGAGTTTTATATATGATACTGCTTTAAAAACTTTAGTTTACTCAAATACTGGTCTGAATCTTCAAAAATAATATATTGTGTGTTTTCCCCTGTGTAAGTGACACCAAGAAGCTCAAAATCCAATAAATTGTATATAAGATTTTAAGTTTCTTGTAAAATACTGGATGATTTTTTCTTTTCTTTTTTTTTTCTTTCTCTTAAATTTTCTTTTTGCTTCTTACAATAAAGAATGTTTTGGGTGCAGACAACATTAGTGCTTGTTCATGTCCTTCCTCTTTGTATGCTAGGGTAACACACCGAGATACATCTTTAGGAATACTCTAACTTATCTTTAGGAATTTAATACCAAAGCACAGTTAAACTCCCCAGATTTCATCTCCATTCTGCTTGCATTGTGGAAAAAAAGCAGGCAACTCACAGCAGCACCCTTTTCATGTTAGGCCCTTTTTTTATGTTTACTGGCAAAAGAAACAGTACTGACAACTCATCTGGGTTTCTCAGAAGATTCAGGTGACTTCTTGCTTAAAATCTAGCTACTGGAATCCACAGCAATCACACCACTGGACAAGACTCTCATTCAAAAGATAGGAAATGTTTCTAGGCCATAAAAATAAAGATTTTTTTATTCTAGAGAAAAGTTTGGAATCTCCAATCCAGAGGCTAAATAGCAAAAATTTAGTAAAGGAAACAATTGATGTAATAATATTTTAATTTTATTATGTTAACTTTCTGCATCAGAGGCCTAATTCATGACTCTGGATTGTAGAAATATTCCCACAGTTAAGAAGCAGCATATATAGGAAATTGTGAAATTCAGTGGTATTTTTAAATCACAGAAATGTCAGATTTGGCGTGATTCCACTTAAAAATCCATTAAAAAAAAAAAGAGACAGAGATATTCTTTACCAGTGAAAACTTTTTCTCTATGAGTTCAATAACAGAGTGTTGAAGAGTATGAGAAGCAGGCATGTGAACTGAAAGCTCCTCACTCACCTTGTAAGCCAGACCCCATAAAGCTGGTCTTCCAATAAAGACACATTTTGCTCCCAGTGCCAGTGCTTTTAACACATCACTTCCTTTTCTTATTCCACCATCTAAGTAAACTTCAACTCTGCCTCGGACTGCCTCCACAACTTCAACCAGAGCATCAATCTGCAAAGAAGCATCCAGTCTCACCTTGAGGTCAGCCTTTGATTCCAAGAGAAAGAGGATATATTCCAAAGAGACAGGCGGGGAGACAATGCTTCCATAGCATACCTTCTCAAAATAAAATGTGATGATGCATCACAAATAGCTCAGCACCAAAGGCTGCAGGATAAAGTGCAGCTCCCTATTCTGTTTACGGGATAGTTAATATGATTTTCCAGTGCTTTGCCTATATTGATATTTTTGCTAGCACTTCTAGTGAGTGCTTTATGAAAGATTTTATATATAAATTTCAATGAAAATAACTTTTATTAATATTTTACTTTTGTTTGAGACAAATGTTTGTAAAAAAGGCTGATGCCCAAACTGCCTACAGTTTACATTTCAATCTAATCCTGGTGACCACCTGTCGAATGCCTCCTCAAACCCCCTAAAGCATCTATGAAGGATTTCATTTGCTTTGTATGACAGGCAACATATAATTTCCTCCAGGTTAAGTCTCCTGATTCCCTAAGGTCTTTTTTGTAGAGTCCAACATGGACTAGAGTCCCAGTTGCTAGTGCAGGGCAGCACCATACAGAGATGCCGGCTGTGGTCTCAAAGGCAGTACAACCAGAGGCAGGACATTACACTAGACCTAATTAACTCTCAGCAAACCCAAATGGCTCTTTTCTGCAGTTTCTTATACCCTTTTACCTCCTTTCAATTTATTTATTTTTTTTTTTTTGAGTAGAGCAGCTATAACTAAGAATACTAAGCAGATTTTTCCAGTTAATCCATTTTTTTTTCCCAGGATTTCAGACTAAAAACTTTCAGGCTGAAATTTTCTAGGAGTAGCTCATCAAGGACAGGGACAATAGATTCTATTGTCAGGCTTGGTACCAAAAGAATATCAGAGCCAAACTAGGTATCTACTGCCCTGTCTGTGTATGTAAAGAAACTTTTAGAGTAGAAGAGCAATTCAATATGGATACCATTTCTGTTATTATGCCCTCAGCATTTAGACTATAAATATTTCTTATTCATTATTGTCAGGCTTGATGTAGAATAGAAGACAATTCCCTGGTACCTATTTTTATTTCACAAAAGAAAACAGAGAAAAAAACATACATAAGATACTATGCAATGCAGAACTGTAAAATAAGGACAATTGGAAAAACTGAGAGAAGCCAAATTAAACCAGTGAAATACACATATGTCCAAACAATGCTTGATTTCTTTGTACAGTTTAAAAAGCAGGGGAATTTTTTTCCAGATAAGTTATCCTTTTTTTGGCTCATGAAAGTCAATAAATTCCCATTTAGACTTGAGTCCGTAAATACGCAAGCAGACCTCTCACTAAATCTAGCTGCGTTGTTTTGCATGTTTTGACAGATGTGAACAATGAGAATACATTATGCTTTCATTTGTACATTTTTGGTTTCAGAGCTTCGTTTTCCTTTTGCTGCCGTGCGCAAAGAGTTTGTGTGCACTGCACCAGCTCATGGAGACACAGGCAGAAAACATTTCCTGACTTAGGCCAGTACTTTATCTGCAGTTATGTGGTTTCTGCAACACTCACAGAACCCTCCCAAGAAGCTGAGAAAATACTTCGGTGGGTAGCTCGTGCCAAGTTACAGATCTTACAAGTTTAAAGCTAAAGTACATCTGCACACACCCACGACCACTGAACAAATAAATACAAGTCCACCAAAAGTGTACAGACAGAGCTGGTCATAGAGATACCCAGGTTAATGCAAATATGCAGACTGTAAGCAGTCATGGGACATACATTTTCTCACTTACAGTGGCAGGTCCTTCATCCAGTTGTCTTCCACCATGATTGGACACAATAATTCCCTGGACTCTGTGTCTCACAGCCAACTCTGCATCTTCTTTCGTCAAGATGCCTTTGATGATGATGGGCAGGTGAGTCAGGCTCTGCAGCCAGTAGATATCATTCCAGGTGATGGAAGGATCCAAGCTGTTGGGTGGCAGTCCATACTCAGAACGGTCATCTCCCTACAGCCATAGAACAAAAGAAAGCCTCATCTGAGCTGCAACAATTCAGAGGTCCCTTGAAGTCTTTCCTTGCCATAGAAAAGATTAATTAAACTTGCTAACAAACATGTTCATCAGCTCCAGAAAGCATATATCTCTGAAGAAGAATAATTACAGTGGGGGTGGAGATCAGTTTGTCTTAGGCATCTGGATGGGGATTTTGAAGTCAGAACCCAGGTTGGCAGGAGATCAAGGCAGGATGCTGCAGAACCAGAAGGGGAGAAGATACACCCTGGGTAGAGCAGATGCCAAAGCAGCAGTTACCCAGTGGTTTTGTCTCATGTGGTACATGCCAGCAGAGTGAATGAAAGGACAGGCTCATTTTACAAACCTCAAAGTCTCGTTCCAAGTTCTTCAGTTTTATGTGGGGTGGAAGGCAGAAACCGTTGCGGATATCATCGCGTCTTTTGCCCGTGTAGGGCAGATCCGCGGTGAGGACAAGGGCCTGGAAACCCAAGGCCTCCACTCGTTGGACCAGCTGACGGGAAGCTGCCCTGTTGCGGTGGATGTAGAGCTGGAACCACCGGAGGCCCCCGGGAGCGGCCGCAGAGATCTCCTCCAGCGTGCAGGTGGAGTACGTGCTGGCAATGTAACAGGTGTTCATGGCTTTGGCTGCTTCAGGACGTATTGAAAAAGAATCAGAAACAAAGTGATTTGAACCATCTCACCAGACATCAGACACAAAATTTTGTGCTCTTTGCAGAGACTTCCTGAGCTCCTGTTTTACGTATATCCCATGAAGCACTGTGCAATTATGACCCCCGAGTTAAAAGTAGCTGTATTTACCATGCACTAGTGTAGGATCATGGTTAAGAAAGCAGGAAAGAGAGAGGCAATTTACCAAGCTGCGCGTTCATTTTGCAACTACTTTTTTTGAAAAACCATGAATTTTTTCTTTATGACTGAGTTTTCACAGGAATGCACTCTCAATTCCACTTGGTGTACACAGAAATATACAGAAGAAAAGAGTAATTTTAAAACATCAGGTCTCCAAACCCGCCATAGGATTTATGAAGAGATACCATCCCTCTTTTTTCTCCAAGGGAGATACTTCTTAACCAGCAACAAGGAATTCACAGTCTGAGTCTCATCCACCACTTTTATGACCTATCTAGAGCCACCAGGACTGAGAACCTTGTGTGGTTCTTGGTGTGAGTCAGAAATGGGTCCACTGCCCTTGTCTTAAGTTTGCAGCAGATTCCACAGCGAGGATCTTGTAATAGTGGTAGCTGGAGAAGTAGAGCAATGCCTATACAGGTTCCCATGCAGAGTGTCAGAAAGTGGGAAAAGAGTTTGCCCCTTCAAGCCTGAAAACTTTTCTCAGTCACACTCCAAGCCATCCTAAAAGCTTCTTGAGGTTTTTACACAAACCACCTTTTCTGCAACATGGCAGCAGACCAGAAGAGTACCTCTGGCTGTGCTTTTCTCTCCATCAGGCCATGCTAGCTGGTGGAAGCCAGTGGGGGCGATTCCTACGGGAAAGCTGATTTCAGTCCCCAGGATCTTAGTCCTAATATCCATCATGGATACATCCTGCAGCACACGTGGCTGGAAACGAATTCTGCAAGGCAAAAAGAGCCACATTCAGGATAGTAGATGTTCAGTGACTTTTCTGAAGTTTCATGGAAACCAGGTCTTCATTTACCAACTACAAGGCAGGAATCTGAGACAATAAATAGAACAGCATATAACAGAGGTTCAACCACTTCCATTTTCCATTAATCCTGCTTACTGGTCACAGTACTTAATTTCTTCACTTCCCACTTCATCTCACCTTGTGGGTCCCTTCCAATTCAGCATATTCTGTGATTCTGTGTCTTGTTCTCCCATTGTCCACCTCCCAGGTTGCTTCTACTTGCAGCCCAATCCCAGGTTGGTGCCTTCCACTCCACCATTCGTATGTCTGTCCTCACTGTACAGTGTGCCTGCCCTCACACTCTGCAGCATGTTCCCCAAATCCCATCCTACTTATGCTTAGACTTCCTGCTTTTCTGCAAGAGTTCCCTGTTGCTTCTCAATCTATTATAGCTACTCATCTCCTTTCCTGTCATGCCTGTATACCACACGGTACTGTACCATACCCTACCAGTTGCCTGTACCCTCAGCATCACTTATGCCTCACACAGTCTGTGTCACAGTCAGGCTGGCATCAGACCATGCAGCATGTATCATTCAGGTAAGTGCATTTTGCTTGGGGATCACCTTGAAAAGGCAAGGTCTTAGGTGTCTTTGCTTGTGAAGTCCAAACACTTGCACAAAAATGTAGTTTAAAAGCTCCCAGTACAACACCCCTCATTTCCTCCTCACGTTACCTTTTATATGCCAAGATGTTTTCATCTCGTGTGTTACAGTCATCTGCTCCAGCTGCAAAATAATCCCAAGCAATCTTGGGTAAATACTTTTTAGCGTAGGCTTCAAAGTCTGAAAGACACACCATAGCCATTGCTGAGAGAGGCTCTGGGAACCTTGAAGAAAAGAATAACATGGAGGAGAAATTAGATCCCTGAACTGTCATTCTCTCTTCCAGGGGCTCTCATGTCACTCAATGCAAATCTTTGAGCCGTCTGTCTTTTAGAAGACCTGCTGAGAGGTTGTCTCTGTCTATTGAGCGCATCAGTCTATGAATGCATCTTCTCCCCTAGTATGAGAAAAACTTGCAGATGAAGCTATAGGAAGCTTGCATCTCTGTGCCTTTATTCTGTTTTAAACAGCAGCCTGAAGAGGACATTTTAGGTCCTCTGATCTTTTAGTTGCATAATTCTGTCATAAGTTCCATCTTAAAACTAGCTGGGTTATTTGTTCCACTAATTCTCCTCAAAGTTTGTCCCAGAACATCATTTGCTAGATTACCCCTAAGGACAGCTCCCTGACTGAACAATTAGTTATGGAACACAGTGATGGAATTCGAGATTATGAAATCTGGAAACAAGTAAATGCAGAGTCTACATCTAACCTGCTCCAGCATGAACGCATTGTAAAACTATGTCCAGACTCTGAGTGCAAGCGGAACAGCAACTCTGTGGAAAAAAACCAAAGCATTTTCTACAGATCTTCATTTCTCTTCTCTAACAAATATCTTCTGGGTGTTCGAATTACATGACATATACTATAAAAGGAGCATACAGAATTTGGACAAACCATGAGAAAATACTGGCAAAAAACAATTTCTGCAAAATGAAACATGTTTCTAAGAACTACCCTCAGCCTTTCAAGGAAGACAAGTGATGTTGTGTTACCCAGATGTCTAATCAAACCAACATAAATGCTGCCCAGCAAATGCCTGCACTTGCATACTTTTGAAGTAGCCAGGACTAAAAGCTGTGCAAATTAATGTTTTAGCAAACCATGGCTGTGTGTGAGGAAAAACATGTACAAAACACAGACAAAGGCAATTTGCTAAATTGTTTATTGCAATTACTTCCACAGCTCTGATTAAAATAGGTATTTAGTAAGGTATATGAAAACATGAAGTTTTTAAACAGCTGTGGTGCAGTCTGATTTTTCTAAAAAACATACAAGAAGAAGTAAATATTCTAATTTTCAGGATTAGCCTCCCACCACAGATTAGCAGGGGTTGCAAGATTCACCACAATCAGTCCCGTGTGTCTGATGTTGTACAGTTCTGGCACAGATAAACACACAGGTTATGTACACAGAAACAACCTGTCAAACTGCAGGCATGGAGATGTCTCAGTGACTGAGGTACCTGTGTTTACATTTGAAAATTAGGACTTAAAATTCTATGCTAGAAAAGAGCCCAAGATGAGGGAGTCACTGGAAGATGAAGAAGAAATGCGACTGATTTCTTCAGTATTATTTTGTCTCATCTGACAGGCATTAGGTAGCCAGTGGTGTGAGTATGCCAAGCCCGCTCTCTACGCATTCAAGACATCAAGCACTGCCGACAGCACAAGTCTTCAGGTATATACCGTGACATACTTTAAACAGTGTGTCACAACTTCTGCTTTTCCAACTCTTACAAAGGTCAAAACCAGAAAGCACAATAAGATAAATCAAGTCCTCTCACAGCAGAATAAACTGCAATTTTAAACCACCCAGGCTCAGTCCTGTCTCCCAATTCAGGTCTCAGTTCAGACTTACTTTGGGTTTCAGGGAGAGCTGCAGGAGGTGAGACCTTCTCCCTCAAGTTTGCCTGCAAACAGGATGTAGAGAAGGTCTTTTCACTGAGTAGAATCAATAAGCAACCGTCAGAGATAAAAGCTCAATCCTGTGGTAAACTTTGTACTGTTTGTATAACACTAATGTTGTTTTGCTATCAGGTGATTAAAAATACCTTCTAAAAACATGCATCACCTTGTCAGTGGTGCGATTGCTTGGGACAGAGCCCCGGAGCTGAGCTCTGGCAGCTGCTGATGGCTGTGCATTCATTTAGGAGAGCAACACTATTTCAGGGGTTTTGCTGAATCTCTAAACTGTTGATAACTTGCTTTCATGTGCTACAGATCCTACCAAAATGATGATCCACAGACAGAGTGAATTGTAACAACCCATAGCTACAGAGCTTGGGCTTTTTACCAGTACATGTGAAAGAGATATTTTTTGCCTCCTACAGTATATGAACAACTAAAATACCCTTTGTCTTCTGCCATTTTTAATGGCCTATGAGTGCTCTCATGATCCAGTTGCTCTCCCACTGGGCTTGCAGATTCCCTCCTTTGGTCCCCCACTCAGTCATCTCCCAAGAGGATTGCCAGTCCTCCTTTTTCTGTGCTTGGAGCTGGTGGGACTTCTCTGTGCCTCCCTCCATCTCCTCTGTTAGCATTACAAACCAGGACTGAGGTGCCAACAGATCTTAAATTTACAAGATACGAAAAATAAACACTGGACAGTTTTATTTGTCTTTTGGTTTTTTAGCCTTTGGGGTAAAAAAATGCTTTCAACATTTACATGCATCTCTGAGATCTTGAAACTTTGATGTTTACTAACCGAAAATTGAGATATTATGATAAGAGGCGTAGAGAGTGAGGAAGAAACTTGATAAAACACTCCCAAAGTTTTACAAGTACTGTTGTCCTCTCAGTCCAAGCAGCCCAGATGGGGCAGTGAGAAGCTGAACAGAACTGCAGCCTCAGAACCTGGTGTTCACCTGGCTAGTCTGGTCCAGGTCTGCAGACCTAAAGTTTCTGACAGCAGAAATTGTAGTTCACTGACACCATCTATGCAGCTGCAATGAACCCCTGTTCTGTTAGATATGTTCACAAGATCCTGCCCAAACTAAATCAGGCATGGTCATCTCTACTGTTGTGTTCTGAAACTTGTTAAAATTCAGCCTTCAGAGCTCATTATCTGCCAACAGCACTGTGAAGTTAGCTTCTGGCATGGATAGTTATGGATACAGGTGTCACAAACCAGACAAGGTGTCACACTTAGCTAGAGTGCCCATGAGCTCTTTGGTTTGCTTTCCTGCTCAGGAAGAGCTGTGTAGTAGATGGCCTTCAGGTCACTTCTGAAGAGAAAAGCTGTGTTCTCTGTATGTGCACACAACCCTGGGAAAGGACGGAAAATCCTGCCCTCATTCTTTCTCCGCTAGATGTCAGGTTTGGGTCATATATATCAATTTATGTTGTTAAAAACAACAAAAAAACCCCAGTACTTGCTGGCCTTCAAGACACTATGGCCTTAAACCCACTACGATCACATCACAAGAATGCCTGCTAATATATTTGGAAATCTTCATTCTCTATGTTTTATTCTTAACATTTTCTGGTGCGACAGCACAGTAATAAATGTAACCACATCTGGTCTGTCCTGATCTTTGTTTCAGCCTACAAGTTGTCTGCAGGGTCCTCTGTCATATTTCTCATTATGCTGATCAAAGGACTCCCCTACTTTAGGGATGCACATTGCAGGCAACTCACCAAACCATAAAGTTTATGGTTTCATGATTATCATAATTTTACATGAATTAAAAATAGTCTGTGACTACTCTATTTTGGATCAGGAAAGGGGAAAAATCTCTGCATTTGTGCTGTGGCTTTTAAAAGGCTGTACTTTGCATCTAGATATATTTTCTTCCTTCAGCAATGGGCTCAATTCAAAGTAGCAATGACTTTTTTGTCCCAAAAGTGGTATTTTCTCTGATACTAGTAAAAGTCCCATGATTTAGCTGTGAAGCTGTTAAATTCTAAGAAAATCAAAATTTGCCACAGAGATAATATCTTTGATTACAGCTCCTGTATATACTCAAAAAAAGTGGACAAGTTTTAAAGCTGTGGAGCCCTTTCACTGGAGCACAATAAAAGTACCTCCCTCCCACCCTCCATTATTCCTTCCTTCCCTCCCTTCCTCCTACCCTTCATCCCTCCCTCCATTATTCCTTGCCTCCCTCCCTTTAAAAACTTTGCTGGAAGCCTTGCTGCCTTCTTTTGAAAACTGAATAAAATAATATAGGAAATAATTGCACATCTGGTCCAGGCTTGCAGGTAGAATGTCAAGCAGTCAAGAGCCAAAGCTCAGTTTTTGCACAGATCTGCATAGCCGGGGTTTTGCAGCTGCTTACTTTTCAATACTAACATAGTCAAAAGCTTGTGGGTCCAAACACAAAGATCCTCTGTAAATCTGTGCTCCAGTTCCTATTACAGTCACGATGCTCATTACTCCAGTTGGTTGTATTTGTTTGCTTTTCACAGATGGCAAATCACTGTGGGTCAAGTTGACATCTCTCTCACTGATGCATCCACTAGTGGTCAGTTCAGTCTGGGACTTTAAAACATTCCAGTGAAGAATCTGGTGAACTCTAAGCAATGTAAATAATTCAGATGGCATAACAGTTTGCATACAGTCACCACTGTTTTTCCTTATCAGATGTCTTTCTTGAGCATATGCCTCATGTTTGGAAGGAAAATTCTTGTCAGTCATACCAGAAAGTCTATCCCAAAATGAATATTTAAATAGCCATCCCTCTGTTATAGGAGGAGATGGCAACGAATCTTATATTTAACACAGCCTAACACTTTTGATTATAAGACATGTTTTTCAACTGCTTCTAATTTTTTCATATTTTGATCATTCTAGGCTGAAATTTTCCATCCTTGATCTCTGTGTTGGGCTGAATTTTATTTTGGGGACATTTCACTGAAAGTTGGTCAGCAACTTCCAAGAATGAGGTTGGCGAAAAATGATGGTTGGCCTATGCTGAAAATGTCTTACAATGGTTTCACTGCAGTTCAGTGCTTCATGTAGGGGCCTGATCCCTGGAATCAACATCCTGGACTTCTGGCCATATGAAAATTCTGTCAGATCTGACCCAGCTGTAAATCATTGCTTTCCACTTGCACATGATCACCAGAGCTTGCCTGAAATCCAGATATTATCTTTGCTGAACACTTGCCTAGTGCAGAGCATGTTTCTGCCATAGGAACTCAGAGAGCCCAAAATATGAGCAGAGGACAGAGAGCTGGCCTGACCCCACTCTCCCACACCTCATGCCACCTGGGTTTGGA